GTCGATTTCTCATGATCCCCTACTGTTTTTAAGAGACCTCTCTTTTCATGGTCACTGACTGCAATCTTATCTTCTATATCTGAGATTCTATCTTTGCATTCTTTTATTCTATTGAGTATACTTTCAATGGAGTGTTTAATCTCCTGGATATCTGTTTGAATCTGTTTTATGGATTCCATTTCTTTCCTATGTTGGCTGTTTATTTTTTCCATTTCTTTCTTATGCTGGGCCTTCATGGCTTCTATCGTGGTGCTGAGCTCATCTCTTTTTTTGTCAGTTTCTGTTCTAGAGCCTTGAATCATGACTTTCATTTTGCTCACCATCTCTATGGTTATTTGGGAAATTATTTCTGTTTTGAATTTTTCTAGAGCCTGATTGATCTGTTTTGTTACTTCCTGTGCTTTGAGTTCAGGGTGTCCTGGTGATTCACTATTGGCCTTTTCATCCTCGTTTGCCCTACTGTTTGCCATTGGTGAATTGGAAGTCTGTCTTTGTGTCTTGCTTAAGAGTTTTCTCATTTTTATTTTTGTTGTTGGGCTGTCCTTGCTTTAATCTCTGAGTTATCACCCAAATCTTCCTGATGTAGTTGCACCCTAGCTTCTGGGTTTCTAATGACCCACAGACATTCTCATCTTCATAACATCAGAGAAAACAGCTCATCAAATCAATCACAATCCTTTATCCCAACTGACACAATCATCTAGTCATTCTATAATAAACATTCATCAAGGAAAAAGGGGGGAAATGTTTTATTAATGCATTTGGACAATAGTAATTGGCATGAACTTTTCAAGAAGAAAAGCCAGGAAATGAGGCTAAATCAATACAATCCTCATTCCTAGCATGCACGTGCATATGATGTTCAAACTTCTGCTTCATCATTATTTATTAATTATTCCTCCCTGAAGGTTGGTCAAAGCTTTTCTCTTGTCCTTTTCTTTGATATTATGTGACTCATTTTAGTTCCCATTTACCCTCAAAGCCTAGCCTCATAGCTGCATATTTTCCCAATGGGAGGGCTAACTCTTGCATTCCCAGTTTATTTTAAAATTAGCATTATTATTGTCCCTAGTATATTTTGATTTTGCATATTTTATATAAAATTCAGCAATATATTTTGAAATTTATCAATATTATTCTAAATTTTTTTTTTTTTTTTTTTTTTTTTTTTTTTTTTTTTTGGTACCACAGATTGAACTCAGGACCTTGCACTTGCAAGGCACGTGGTGGAACCACTGAGCTAAATCCCTGGCCCAATCCATATTATTCTGTGTACCTCAAATTAGTTTGTTTATTTATTTGTTTGTTTATTTGAGACTATCTTTTAAAAAACACTTTGTATTTTTGAGATTACTGCTTTGGAGTAACAGAGATTTTAAATTTTAATTTAGTCAGATTTATCAACCTTTTATGGCTCATAATATTTTTGCTTATTTAGGAAATTATTTCCAATTATTAAGTTCATAACGATGCCATCCTTTATGTTTTTCTAACAATTATAGTTACTTTTTCATGCTTCTGTCTCTCTCTCTCTGTCTGTCTCTCTCTCTCTCTCTGTCTGTCTCTCTCTCTCTCTCTCTCTCTCTCTCTATCTCTTCTGTTCACTTTCTCTCTCCCTCTCTCCCTCACTCCTCCCAATCTGCACTGTCCTTCATCTGGCCCCTTGGCCCCTGTCTCTGAGAAGCAAACATAGGTAAATCTAACCTCTGAGCCAGAGAGATTTCTATGCTTTAATTCCTGGTTAGAGGAAGTGCCCCCCCATTCTCACTGCCCCCATATTTTTCACAAAGGAATACACCTCCAGGCAAGAACAGAGCATAGCCTGGTGCTCCTCAGTCTCCCCTCTCTGGCTGACTGGAAGACTTGTTGTGGCTGTGCTGTGGGGCAGTGAGCCTTCAGTGCTTCCAGCTATGTCTGTTCTGCCTCCTCTGCTGTTCCATTCAGCACTCAGGTCTCTGGCCTCAGTTCATTCCTTGCTTTGTGCTTCTCTACTGTTTGCCCCTGTCCATCTGTCTGTCTGTCTCTAAAGCTTGCTTCAGAGACTTTGTATTTCATTTTGCTTTCTCTTTTTTATATATTCATTGAGTTTGGAGAGAATAGCCCCCTGAGGCATGAACTTCTACTACTCTTCTGACCCAAACCCTAACTCTATCTCTATATGGCAAATTATAAGAAAGAGTAGGAATTAGCTAGATGGAGAAGGCTATTAAGAGAAATAGTGTATATTGGGCCAGGGATTTAACTCAGTGGTTCTGGTGCCTGCTTTGCAAATGCAGGGACCTGAGTTCAATTCCCTGCATTTGTGGTACCAAAAAGAGAGAGAGAGAGAGAGAGAGAGAGAGTAAAAAAAGAGAGAGAGAGAGAGAGAGAGAGAGAGAGAGAGAGAGAGAGAGAGAAATAGTATATGAAAGGAAGAGTTTGTGTGAATGCACAGAGATGGGAAAAGAAAGAGGACTGGAAGCACTTTTTAATGAGAGTAACCAGAAGAGTATAAAGGGAAGAGGACAGCAAAAAAAACAAAAACAAAAACAAAAACCACTCAGAGAGTGATGAAACATGATGAGGAGGATAAATTCATGATGAGAAAGTTCTTTGTGCCTCCCACATTGCTACTGCCCTAAAACACACACAAAGGACCCAAAGAACTGACCACTGAAGAAAATAAAAGAAAAAGAAAATAGAATTACTCTCTACAAGATGTCCCAGACTTTAAACGTATTTACATCAATTCACTGAGGCAGATGGTCATTATATCCATTGTCAAAACAAGAAAATCGAAGCTTAAGAAGTTTAAGGAATAGAATAAAAGCCAAGCTCAAACCCTCTTTTGCTTATTCTTTTGTGACTTATTCAAAGTGTACACACACACACACACACACACACACACACATACACACAAAGAGACTGCTAGCCATGGGTGTAGTTCAGCTAAAACAATAAGATCAGAAACAGTTGGAATAGAGATAAATTTCTTTGGCACTCCTTGATTTCACTTTTGTCTCTTCTACTCATCTCTTATTCTAAGTTCTGAAATCAAAATCATACTTGCTTACTCTATGATACAAAAGCCTGAAAAGAGGCAATGTTCTAAGTACTCTCCTAAAATTGACATTTTAAAAACTGAGACAAAGGAAATAAATTCCATTTGTACAAGTTCTAAATAAAAGTAGCCTGTCAGGAGCCACTCTGCATAATTTTGGGGAAAAGTCAGTTCACAATTCAATTATAATTAGGCAGAGTCTTCTTGTCTATAGGCCAGCTATGACATGCCAAAACAGAACTCCATGTTTGCTTCCAGTCACAGCTGAGACCTCAATGGTCCCACGATGCTGTGACACTCAAAAGCAAGACTGCATCAGCTGAAGACATCTGGTTCCTTAAGAACAGAGTAGTAAGAGAAAGATTTCACTCAGGGAGGAACAAATTCCTTATCAGCTTAATTTATCCCACATATTGTAAGGATATCTTTGCTCATCTTACTGTCCTAATCAACATAAGCTCCTCATAAGATCTTCTCAGCATGAGATCTTTGACAATTTAGGGTTATTGACACTCTGATTACAAAACCCTCATCATCCTAGGATTACAGCCACCTACGAGTCATTTGTTACTCACTATAAGCCCAATAAATAGTGCAAGCTCTGGATGTCTTAATTTTGTTGCCCAGAGCAACACTGATCAGGCCCAGAACCCAGCTTCTTCTCTAATTTTGTGCCCAGTTTTTATTCTATAATTCATGTTGTGTTGCTGTGGATCACAGGATATCAGGGCCCACTGCGAGGGTTCTGGTCAATACCCTTTCCCTGTTCCCTACAGTAGCCTACAAAGGGTACATTTCTGACCAGAGGCTCCTTACCAGTGTTTCCTTAATCATACGACTCACCATATGTGTTCTTGCAAATGGACCAATCTACCTAACCAATAGTGAAGATTTCAATTCACTTAATTCAATTATAAGAGTTTCAAATTAGAAGTCAATTTTTCTGTTGACTAAACTACAACCTAGAGTTTTATATGTAGTTCTGTATATTATCCATTAATGCAACAAATGTAGTCTTTGACTTAACAGTGGTTCAGCACATGATTTTTAAACTCTATGACCCATACAAACAAACTGGTCTTCACTTTCTGTATAGTACTCCACCACTTTATTATAAAATAGAGTTCATATTAAATTATTTTGCACAAATGTAGGCTGAGGTTATTGTTCTGAGCACATTACAGTAAGCTAGGCTAAGCTGTAATGTTCAGTAAACTAAACACAATAAATGTACTTATTTAATATTTTCTGCTTACAATAGGTTTGTTGGGACATAACCCAACATAAGAACATTTGTATTCACATTTAAATAGATTAATAATTATTATAATATGAAAATATTTAGAGCTGATGCATGAGTAGGAAATGTGATCTGTGAAATTGAGTCACACTATGACTTGCTAAAAAACTGTAATAAAAAGACTAAGACCAGTTATTTCAGGTGAAAGAATGTAAACTTCTTCTAACTTTGCTGAATTTGTATTGTTGTTCTTTCTATCCTCTATTAACAAGTCAACTGGTATTTAACTTATTACAGAGGAGAGCTCTAATAACCCATTTCCTTGTATTTTTAACTATCTATTCTTAAAAATTGCTTTCTGTAATTCATGTTTGGGCAAGGAGAAAGGGATGTTCTTCAAAATCTCAGAAGATACTCCCATCTTTTATTATTCCTCTGAATTCTTAAATAAGAATAATACTGATTCCCATTTCCTTTTATGAATATAGAAAAAATCCAATTCCTAAAGGTAGGTCTTCAAATAAAGCTCTGATCACTGGTGCTATTTCATTCTCATATTAATGAATAAAACCAGAGCTTAGCAAATGTGTGCTCATGATATGAACCATAAATTGCTACAAATTTAGAAGAGCATACTTCAGATTCTGAAAATGCTTTACCTAAAACTCTTGAGAAAGATAAAGCTTAAACAGTGGTGAACTCTGTGCTCCACTCCTCCAGGTTTTCAGAGTATGGGACATACAAACTCTTTCCCTATTACAAGTCTTCCATGACACCCAGGGAGGACCAGGAGACATGCAGATTTATTCTATGGTATATGACACCAAACATGGCATGCTTATTACAGGTAGGTATGCACACATAATGACAACTCAAACTCATGTCTTGGTTTTTAATCTTTTTTAAATTACCACTTAAGGATGTTGTGGGGGGTAAGATAGGAGTAATTATAAACCATGATTCACCACCACAGTAAGTCTTCCTTTCAATTCCGTGTATTCTTATCACTCTATGGCCAGATGGATGAAACATGTAAATGCACTTTTCTGAAATAACAGGTCAATTCTCTATGTTCTTGAACCTAGGAATACACAACTCAAAAATGCCCAGTAAAGGGAAATGAAGATGGTTATGTCTAGGTCAAATCCAGCTCTTGTGCTCATCTCTGAATGTGATCCTATCTTAGATGATGGTCCAAGCATAAGCCCCTTTTCTGCAGCAAATAAGTTAGCCCCATTCAGTCTGCAAATGAGTCTGTTAGGAAGAATACAAACACTCTCAGTTGCCTTTACTTCTTTCTAGACAAACAGCAAGAGGGATGGGGGTGGTATAAAACTCAAGGTGACAGATCCCCAGTGTTCATGCCAACAGATTTTTTTTTTCTTGCAGCCTCTTAGACACAGTAAAGAAACAAGTTACCTTGTTGAGCATTTGGCTTGAACACTCTTCACATGCTTACCCTTAAGCTTTAGAAGAGAAATGAGTGATATTAATAGTAGTTCCTCTTCTGAAACACTCAGCCAAAATTGCATTTCCTATGCATATTCCCACTGACCACCTGCTCCGAGTTACTGTGGGATTAATTAAGGAAGGGAAATGCTTGGTGCTATCTCTGGTGGAGGATAGAATTATTTTTAACTTTTGTGTTGGTACTTTTTCCCAGATTAGGAGGGGGCTAGCATTTTGTGCTTGGGTTGTAAGTACCCCTCCTGTACATGACCTCCTCGAAAAAGAATATATGAATGACTACATGAAAATGTTTTTCCTCTTAGTGCCTCAACTAGCATGTTTGACTACTGGATTCAACACTTCTATCCCATTTAAAATCAGAGTAACTAAGGATTCAAAAATCAATACAAAAGAAGAAAGAAAACAGAAAAAATAAAATATTTCTTCCCAATTGTATATAAGTTTTGGAGTATTTCTGCCTGCAAAAATATAGAACTCTGTGTATTGCTTAATCATTGAAAGTTACAAACACTGACTATAACCATCAACTTGATATTAGAAGTTTGTTAATTCATGATTTGTTTCAAATGAAGAAGCTTTATATAATATTCTTCTAAACCATACCCACAGCAGCAACACATGCTAAAAACGCTTTGCAGAAAATGTTGTTATTGTGACTGCTGTAACTTCTTACTTTTATTTAGATGACAACCATTTGTATTTTTTAAACTTTTTTCATTTTGTCACCTAATCACCTTAGGAAGCAGGAATTATTAAAATTATAAATTTTTAATTGTACTAATTTTATAAGTTTATAAGTGGAAAACTGCATCTACAACTAGTAGAAGGTAGAAATATTGAGCTGGGATTCGATCTCAGAGCTTCTGATACCTGAATCCACATCCACTCTTTATACCAATATCATTCCCACACCTGCCAAAAAAAGGAGAACATTGTCACTTACCCATAAGCATACCTAGCTCTGTTTATGTCCATTCTGAGTATAGTTTGTTGCTATCAGTATAATGTTAAAGCATCTACCAAGAAGCTCCAAGTGTGGTTTGGTTATCTGAGTACCATGTACCTCTTACCTTTCCATATTGAGATATCTGAATTGAGAAATATTACCAGATGAACCATCTCAGTCCTTCTTTGCACATGAATAGATTTTATCTTAAAAAGTAAACACCTTAGAAAAGTGTTTAGCAACTCCTGCTACAAGTTTCAAAGTTGAAATTTCTTTGAAGAAATTTGAGAAATCCAATGCATAGTTGGCTGTTGATAACTTGATCTCCACATCAATAAAAATAGGGAAGATAAATTATTTTTATTTGAACTACCAGAATGTTTGGAGGTTACTATCAGTACTTCTACACATGACTCTAAAATAGAACACATAATCAGCTGATTTGGGAAGTTAATACTAGTAGTTTATAGTACAACTGTAAAACCAAACCAAATGCCCTTAGAAAAAAAATGTAAGTATGCTTGATCTCCATCTCATGGCCTTGCTAACTGCGTCTGTCATGTGGTGATTTGGAAATTAATTTTACTTAATTTTGATGTTGCAATGATTGGCTTACAATCATTCTCATTCATTATATTCACAGAGTACTTTATAATTTGTTGGTTGAAAAGTGCTCTCTAGCAATACATTTCAGTCACTAAATAGAAGCTTGCCATCAGCAGAAAGCTGACCATCACCATCATTGCTATGAACCAGATGGAGAGGCATAAGGGGGAACAATAAAGGAGAGGAAAAAAGACCCTGAAAAGTAGGATATTGAGATCGCTAAAATAGAGATATCAGTGAAGTCAAAATGACCTATATTTGAAAAATAATGAAACACAAAATGAATGCTTTCTCTTTGGCTGCATCACATTTGCTTCATCTGTCAAAAATGTTTTAAAGTAAATGAATGTATTGTCACCTCCTTAAATTTCCTAGGCAATGATATTAAGAATTTCACTGATTGGCTGCTTTGAAACACAACTGGTTGGGTAAAATCTTTTGTGATTCTAAACTTCTAGTATTGATATTTTATGGGATTCTTATTTCTGTTCCAGGATCAATTTTTATAGACATGTATCCTCTTACAAGGATGATACAAGATACAAAACAGGTTCCTCACACTCATGAACAAGAAATCAATGTCATGCTTTACAACAAGTATTTTCACCAAGTACTTACTATCTGCTCTGAATCCATAATTAAGGTGAGTACAGAAAAAGGCAGAGCAAATAGGCTTTTCTCTTCTTTCAAGTAAATCATTGTGTGCTTAAATAAATGTGGTGGGACATATGATAAGACTGTATATTGGAACTCTTTTTAAGTTTTCATGAATATATAAAAAAAGAAAAAATTTAAACTAGCTCAGACTGCTTGCTACAAAGGAACATGCTAGAATGAATAAATACGTCTAGTTGTTACTATCAAAATAGAACTTTTAAAAAAATAGATCAAAGAGGAATTAACCTCTGTGATTTAACAATTTATATTTTTATTTTCACAACTAGGTATAGTATTATTAGAGTACATTTCTATGCCAAATATATTCAGATGTATTAATTGTAGGGAAAACTATATGTATTGTATTTTTAGCTGAGCTATAATTAGAGGGTGTGTGTTTAAGAAAGAAGGGAAAGAAACTATGGGTTTTTACTGGAATGCCTATAGGTGCAGCACAAATGCCTACAACATTAAGTCTAAGATCTCATTTAATTCTTATGAAAGTTCTCAGCGAATATATAATGTTTTACATTTTAAAAATGAGGAAACTGGAGCTTAGGGACACCAACCAATTTGTCCCCTGTATTAGTCAGTTTTCTGTGCCTCAGACATAATACCAAACTCCCACAATGTAAAGGAGGAAAGGTTTAATTTGGCTCACAGTTCCAGGGGGTTCAGTCCATGATCAGCTGGCTCCAAGGCAGAAATGTTAGGACAAAGAGCATGACAGAGCAGAGCTGCTTAGCTCAGACAGGCCAGGAAGCAAAACAATGGGACAGCACCAGACTAAGGACCAGCCATAGACTCCAAGACCACACCTTCATGACCCACCCAGATATACCCAGAAGTGTGCTTCACCAATCCTTGGGATATATTTCCAAAGCCACTCCCCCTTAACTAATACTGCCTCCCACCCCGCAGTTAATAAGCAGAAGAACTAGAATATATGTTCAAATTTGCCTATTGTGAATGCCCATGACCTTTATCCTCCATCCCTCTAGCCCTGACACTACTGTGCTCAGAAGCCAGGATACGTGGCTTTGCTCTGTGTTCATCATTATAACCACTCACTTCATCTGGCAGTGATGGCTGGAGGTGTTTGCGTCAGGTGTTCATCCTTTTATTTCTTTTTTTTTAATCATTACTGGGATCTTGTACCTTTTATTTCTAAGAGGAGACATATGCACCCATAGAGAACATTCTTCCAGAAACCTTTGAAATTCACTCTCAATGTTTGGCCTTCTGTGCTTATCTACTAGAGATTTAATTGGGCCAAAATCTTTTGAGTTTAGTGACTTATCATTTATTTCTGATCATGCCTAAAGAGAAAATAAGTACACAACAACAAAAACTAAAATCTATCCTGCTTTTGTGCAATACTTACCTTAAATTGAGTTCATCTTCCATGTGCAAGACAGAGGAAGTGAAACGAGTTTATCTGGGTGAGTTTCAGTACCTGATCAGATGCACAGATTATACTTCAGACCTGACCCATCCCTGCAGCGACCCATGTTCCTCTTTCTCCCTTAAGGATTTTGTATACACCCATGAAGACACAGAAGTTAAGAACCTGGGCTCTAGGAGCAAGCTAACTTCATTCAAATCCCAGATGTAACATTTCCCAGCCAGGGTCCCTGCATTATATGGCCCCAAGGCTTCCTCATCAGCTTTCTCTCCTACCATGCTCCCTCTTTTAGCTAAATGGAACAGCTCTCTTTCAGTTTCCCGAGGAAAGATGCACCTTCCTGTCTCTAGCCTTGTTTATTTACTGCCTCCATCCCCAAGATCTGTTATAATCACTTTGGCATTGCCCATTCTGTGCTGGCCATCTAATTTACAATTGAATTTGGCAGATCCACAAAGATGGGTTCCACCAGCAATTCTACAGGTCTACATCCTCTACTGTGTATCTAAAGAGAGAAAATGATGAATCTTGACAAGTATCTGAATTATAGTTTCTCTCTCTGTCATTGTGTCCCTCAGTCTGCCCTTCTCCCCCCTCTCTCTCCCACTCCCCTCATACAACCCTTTCCTTTCCCTCTCTCCTTCTAATACCTCTATAGGCATGTGCCTATAATATCAAGTCCCTCCATGTCTTTAACTACTTGGAAAAATCAGGGCATGCTTTCTTTTCCTCAGGTCTGTCTCAGGTACCATGCTGTTCATCACAGATTCTATCCATGATCCTTGGTTAATTTGGATGAATATAACTGGGAAATAAAAACAGTTCCTTTTTCTCTTCTGCCTTTTTAACTGTTATATTTCTATCTTGCTGCTAACATTGCTTCACACTTATAATACTGTGTTAGTTTGCTCTCCATTAAGGTGCCAGAATACCTGAGATAATCAATTTATGAATAAGAAAGGTTTACTTTAGCTCACAGTTCTAGAGATTGGTTGATTGGCCTCACTGCTTCTGGGCCTGTAGTGAGGATGTGCATCATGGAGGGAGTCTGCGATGGAGCAGCTGTTCATCTCATGATCAGAGAGAGGAAGAGGAAGAGCTGGGATCCCAATCCCCTTCAAGGGCATCCCCCCATGACCTAAAGCCTCCAACTCAGTTCTGTCTTTTAAAGATTCTACCACCTTCTAATAGTGCCATGCTGAAGACCAGTCTTTTCACAATGAGCCTTTGGGGGACATTTAAGATCCAAACTACAGCCAGTAACAAAATGACCACTTTCCCCCAGCCGAAGATTGTATAAAGTAGGGTCACCAGTTGCTTGACCATCTACATTTGCACAGACACGCTTCAGGCTAGTACAGTGATTATCAGATAGCTCTCCATCTCATAGAACTTTCTTTGATAAAACACACACTCAAGGAAGATGATTGGGAAATGTGCTAGATGTGCAGAGTACTAGTTTGGAGGCTGTTTAGAATGTGGTATGGTTTTGTTGTGAATTGAAGAACATATGTATAAATTGTTTGATTTGTTCCTGTTTTCCATAGGTGTGGGAACTTGAGACTGGTGTCCAAATATACCAAATTATAGACCCTCATGGTTTCAATGTTGAACTGACTTCTGCAGCTATCGATGAAAATGGAGTACTTTTTGCCACAGGAGCGTGTACTGGTTAGTCTAATACAACTGCCTCAGTGTTCTGAGTGTGCTAGAACTCATTAGGTTTTGGGTTTCTGGGGAAAATTGGATCAGGCTGGAATACATAAGCATGCCAGGGCTATGCTTCAGTGAAAGGTGGCAGACTTTCATTTATAGTACATTATTATCTTGATATTGATGTTAAATAATCAGTAACATTAAATTTATTTGGTTACTGTAGCTCTTTACTAAAGTCTTTCACATATAACATCTCATTTAATCTTTGATGGAAAACATCTGTGTTGCACTGACTTATTATGTTCTAATTTTCAGTACTATTAGCTAAGAGGTAGACATCAGACTCGGTGTTTTTGGTAATGGTGACTGCATCCAGACCTTACAGCATGCACAGCACCACTGAGCTAAATGTCCAGCATCTCAAATATTTCTGCTCAAGCAGATTTTGAGACTAGAAAAACTATTCAGCCAACTTTGGCACAGAATGCCTAGAATTCTGTACTGGATTTGTTTCTATGTGTAGCCTCTTTGGGAGCATGTGCCATATTGAAATTGATATATTTCAAGCTCAAGATGAGATGTTTGTTTTGTATGGCTTATGCCACAGAACTCTGCAGAGAATTACAAATCATGCCACCTCTCACTTTATCTTGCTCTGGACTCCCATGAAAGAGCTTTGTCTTGATCAATTGCATGCTCAGAATATGTTTGCTTATTCTAGAAATGTATTTACTAAATTACTTACAAGTCAATTGATGGTGTAATTGAGCATACTAATATGAAAGTGAATTTTGAAGATGCAGAAAGGTAACAGCGTGAAATAAAATCATGAATTCTGGGCAAATACAACTGCTGTTCACATGACACAGTGCTTTAAAGGGGCGTCTGAGCCACAGGGCATCCTGCACACACATAAAAATTAGTAATGATAGAAATTTTAAGCAAGGAACACAATCTTTATTAGGCATAAAGATCAATTCATTCAGTACAACTGATAATAGTATTATTCTCACATAAACAAGTCATACCTTATTAGTCCCATGATCTATAATTTTTTCAAATATTGGTAGACTGTCCTTCCAATAGGTATGTAAGTTACAATGACAAAGATCCTGAGTCTACTACACTTCAGAAAGTAGGGTTCTCTGACTCACAGGGCAGCTCCACCCACATGCATAAGTATCCTTTCTTTATCACCACCGCCACGTAGGAAGAACTGAACAGTACCTCTTCCTGCTCTCTGCCAAATGAAGCGAAGTCCTGAGATAGAAGAAAATCTGAGCCATGGGAGTGATCTGCATAATTCAGAAATGAATGCAAGCACAATAACTTCTTTTAATTGTTTCTATACTATTATATCTTTTAGGAAAAGAGTCCTACTACAAGATAATAGAGTCCTTGGGGGTAGGAGCTATGACGATACACTACATATTAGTGTATGTCACATTAAGGGTATACAGGGAGTACTTCGTGTTAATGAACAAAAAGATGTGGAGGTGTTATTCATGTTGTTGATGGAGAACCTGGCACAGGGAAAGGAAAACAACACAGCGACACAGTCTGAATATCTAGCAGGATTCAGGCCAAGGCATCCGAAGTGTGATGGGGGAGGTGTTAGATTTAAAGAGGGGTGGAAAAATGCTAGGAAGAGGTGGCCACTGGGTTCTAAACCCAAGATGACCACTATAGAAACCCATGTGAGGAAATAATTCTCTACACAGTAGTGTAGAAATAGGCATCCAACAACTACACTGTTACCATCCCTTCTTGTCCCTTATCCAGGTCTCCTAAATAAAATGAATAAAGTTAGTGAAACAGTCACTGCCTCATTGTGTTTGGGCTATTATGATAAAATGCCATAGACTGGCTCATGACCTTATTTCTCACAATTTTGGAGGCTGGGAAGTCCAAGATAGAGACCCTGGCCAATTTGGTGTCTGTTGAGAACCTACAGCAGAACCTGCCTTCTTGCTGTGTCCTCACATGGTGAAAGGGGTGAAGGTACTCTTTAAAATCTTTTTTTTAAAGTACGCTAATTACATTCTGTAGGGCTCCATTCTCATGACCTAATTCTACCCTCCTGACCTAAGTACTACCAAATAGCATTGAATAGAGAATTAGGTTTTAACAAATTGTATTTCAAAGCATAAGATAAAAAACCTGACACATCTTGTTTTCTTTACCAAATAATCAATAAAACATCTCCAAGCCAGATAGCTTCTTACCTTCTAGAATTCCTTCAAGCCTTTTATTATCAAATAAGAGCTAATGTCCTAAAATATGAAAGCATCTTAGGAAATATTGCAGATTATTACAATTATCTTTAACAGTTAATAATAATTATTGTGTGATGGCTAAACCTCCTGTATATGGGGGTGTTTAGCAAACTGGAAAGCACTGAAAGAACATATAATAAGATCAATTTAAGAAAGAAAGCTCAGATAGGCAAGTCGAGGAGTTTCAAAGAAAACTGTCAGCTTTCTGTTACTATAACAAATACTTTAAATAATCAACTTGTAAGAAGGAAAGATTTGTTTTGGTTCAAGGTATCAGAGTATTCGGTCCATGCCCACTTGGCCAGGGACCTTTCTTATGCCTATGGCAAGGCTTCATGACAGCAAAAATGCAGTAGAACAAAATTGCTCAACTTATGGCAGCTGGGAAATGAAAGAGAGACAAGGGCTGGGGTCCCACAACACCCTCAAGGCCACATCTCCAATGACCTAATTTTCTCCCACCAGACTCTATCCATTAAAGGTTCCCCTGCCTACCACTAATGCCAAGCTGGAGCCCAAGCCTTTAACATGTGGACATTTAGGGTATTTATCCAAGCTATAGCAAAACATGTCAACAGATTTCAAGACACTGCCTGGTCCTGTTTGTTTTTTATCAGCTGGTGACAAATTCAGACAGAAATATATTCCATTCCCACTCTCTGGGGAGACTCACTTATCAGTCTTGGGGAAAAATAAATATTTGATCAATTGTTTGTAGAAAATTTTCAATTGAAACACTGTTCTCTGAGCTAAAAGCAAAGGTTTCTACAAATTATTTTATTCATAGAGTCTTTTCTCTGTGTTCTAAGGAACAGTCAAAATCTGGGACTTTAGCAGTGGGCAAGAGATGAAAGTGCTGCTGGAAGGAAAAGACTGGAAAGAGGAAGAGCACTGGCTGAAGCACCTGATTTTCCTTCACACTCAGGACAAGCACCAATACTTTATTCTTGCCTTGGAGTACAATGGGACTATCAAGATGATCCAGGTTTATAATCCTATTTTTACATTTGTTCTGTAGATGTTGGCTTTGGGAAAAATCAAATGAGTTAGTAGATAGCCCCTATTTAACTCCCCTCTTGCTAGCCAACTAAATATAGTATTTACCCATCAATTTTCCTGTGATGCTCCTAATTAACTTTGAAAAAAGGCAAAAAGAAGACCTTCCCAGGCAACACACTGCCCATCAAGCACTTGCTCCAGGATTAGTCAGGATCTTCTAACACAGGAATCAGAAAGTAGAAATCTATACACAGCTGCCACTGCCAATTATTGCTTATGCCCTCACTGGGAAATAATTCACTGCTCCCAGAACTGCTCCTTAGCAGGTGCTGTTCCTTATAGTCTATATTGTATTCAGAGATGCTCAAGTCAGTTTTTCTGCTTGTCACAAAACTTGCTTTGTTTATTTTAAGGTTAATAATGCAATGTACTCAGGACTGTTTTGGAAAGATTGAGATAGACTAATTTATTTTTCCTGAGAATCTATCACTGCCTAGGAATACTAATGTCTTCTTCAAATTTAAAATGAAGGCTACATCTTTTATCCTGGCTGAGTGGATCTCACCCTGCAAGAGAGAGCTCAAGGACTCATTGCCTTTATTATTCTCTTTCTGGAAGCTAAGATTAGAAAACAAGTCTTGAAGAGGACAGCAGTCATGAAGTACCAGCATTCATTAAGATGACTAATGACCTTTTAGGTGGATTAAAAAAAAGGAGGGAAAACCTCCCTGATTCAATATTTTCTACCCGTGGTGTCTGCACAATCAAAAAAGGCATTGTAGAACTTCTGGTAACACACTTCACAGCACACCAATATGTCAGTTTCCCATCTTTAAATCACTGCAACTGATCATCAGGATGCCTTTCCCAACAGATAATGTCTTTTGTCACAAACGCTCCCTTTTTAAAACAGACGAAATGAAGCTTGGAAATGTTGGCACATCAAAATGATTTGGGGTTTAACTGTGGTATTTTTCACTTTGGTTGTTCTGTTTCTCCATTCAAAGCCTGTAGATTAAGCATGATAAGGACAACATCTCTCTTATATTTATATTCTTACCCTTCTCATGGTAGGTGCTCATTGAGGATTGAAAAAATAAAGAAAAAGAAATCCTTGAAAGGCAATAGTAAATATATGAGAGAATTTTGAATTCTTAATTAGCAATACAGAGATGAAAAATAGTGGGTTAAATAGTCAAATGTAAATAAAAGTGGAAACTGAGAAAGGTATGCTGAGAATCAAAACTGTTGTTTCTTCCCTGAACATTGCCCACATAAAACTAGGATTCGATTTTTGAACTTGCAGTAGGCCAGCCCAAAGAAATCAAAGCCCAGAGCCTGCCTAAGACTAGGAGTTTAATGCCATGTTATGCTGGTATTCAAAATTTCACTGTGTGGTTATTGCTGAGATTCTTCCTACTCCCACAGTAGCACAAACTCCAATCAAAGAATCAGCTACAAGTAGGCCTACTATTGGCCCATACTTTTAAATTTTAACATATATATAAGACAGTAGAGGCTTTAGAGCAAAACCTTGAATCACAAAGCTTTAAATATAGAAAACTTTAAATAAACTACTTGGAGGCTTCATTTTATGGATAAGGAAATTAATGCCTAAAGACAATATATACCTTGCCCAAGGTCACACTGGAACTAAGACTAGAAATCTTCAGCCATCATTCCCACACCATTATTCTCTCCATTCTACCATAGCTTCTTTTCAACCTAGAAAGATTACTGCTAGCAAAGTAACCTTAAAATTTTGGCTTTTATCCCCACACAAAAATTCAAAACTCAACACTTAACTAAATTTCTCAACCAGTTGACAAACATAAACATAATGAAATAAATTAGCATATTACAATAACAAATAAAAATTTAGTCTACACAAAATAAATTTAATGAAAAATATGCAAGAGTTTTGTGCACATAAAAATTGTGCATGAAATAAAAAACAGTGTAACTTGATTAAATGGTAGGCTATACCATATTCATGGATACCATATTCATGGCTATCACAAATGGATGATTAATCATTCAGATTAAAATTAAATGTTTGTCTTCAAACAAAGGGAAAAGATAAGTCACAAACTGCAAGAACACCATTCCACCTCAGGTAACTGTAAAAAGTTAGGAACCAGACTGTCTAAAGAAATCTCAAATATCCAAGCAGGAGGTTGGGAGAACTCTAAAAGCTAATTTTCAGAAAAATGGACAAAGTCCAGGCAAATAAAGCCAGATGGCTCTGGGTCACAAACTCATGAGAAAAATTTCAGCTCACTAGCAACAAGGGAGGTGTGGTTAATATTACCGATACATTTTTAAATTAATTTTTAAATGCTTCATTTCAAACCCATTAGATAGGCCCAAAAAGTTTTAATCAAATAATTTCAAATATTATCAAGCATGTAAAGAAAAGGGAACTATTATCCATGCCTGATCAGAGTAGACACAGATAATCCTACCAGGAAGAGACATTGGCAATATCTAGGAAAGTTAATGATATGCATATCTTATAATTCAGTTATTGCCCTTTGGTCATATACTTTAAAAACTAGCACTTGTTCATAAAGACAAGCAGTGAAAACTTGGCAATGGCACTGTAGAAAAATGAATAAACTGTAGAATATGCATATCACATTATAAAACAGTTAAAAATAAATGAGCTGTAGTTCCATGTAATAACTTTTATACATCTCAAAATCATAAGACTTAGTAAAATAAGCAAGTTGAAGATGAAACCATAGTTTGATAACATTTATAAAATGGCTAATAGTCCAACATCATATACATTGCAAGAACATATATATGTGCATGTAGAAATATTAAAACTGCATGACTAATACTACATTCAGGTCACTATTTACTCGAGGAGTGAGAAGAAAGAGGAATTATATTAGTAAGAGTCAATGGGGGTAATGGTTATGCTGGATTGTCAGTTTGATTGGTTTGAGAACAGCCTAGGCCACAGTGGTGGGGAACTTATGGCATGCACACCACAGCCAGGCTATTTGTATCATTGAAAGCTCCGAAAGTTTCACCATCACAGGCCAAAGGGATTAATGAAGCATGCTTCTGGATATGTCTTGGTAGTTCACGGAGGCACAGTCGGATAATATATCTGGTCCGTGGCACCATTTTCTTGCTCTGCTTTCTGGCTGCCATGAAGAAAGCAGCTTTGTTCCATCATACCCTTCTGCCATGATATTCCTGCCTTGGAGCCAGCCAGAAACCAGGAGCCAGATAAACTCCTCCTTTAAATCTTCTGTGTCAAGTATTTGGTCCCTGAAATCAGGAAGCTGACCAATATAACAAAGCTGAAGATTGGATAAAGCTGGATGATGGATACATCAGTATATTCTATCTTTCTCTGTCTCTTTAAAACAGTTCAAAATAAAAAAATACTTAATTGAACTTTTCATGTACTCATTGAATTTCTGCTAAAGGGTAAGGAAGATGATTCTTTCCTTGTGGTGATATGGGAGCTGCCAGATGCCATGCCTTATCTACAAGATGAGAACCACATTGTAACTGAAGACTGAAGATGATTCTTTCCTTGTGGTGATATGGGAGCTGCCAGATGCCATGCCTTATCTACAAGATGAGAACCACATTGTACAACTGAAGACTTCTACTAAAGATGGAAACATGGCTATTCCTTTCCCAGATGTCAAATCAATCATTCATAGAAACTCTTCTCAACCTACTAATGTAAGTTACATTTCTTGACATTTTTAGTTTGTATTTTTCGTTAAGGAAAATTATAAACATATACAAAAGTATAGAAAATCTGACAGACTTTGTGCATGTTCAAATGTATTCTTTACTCCTATTGTTTCAAGACCAGAAATTATAGATTTTGAATTCAACCTCAGATATGTCATTTTATCACTTTCAGTAAAAAAAATCTCTAACCAATGACTCTATTAAAAATGACAATACCATTATTCTCTAAAATATTCCAATATAATTTATAAAAAATTAATACCACATATTCACTCAGGATTCGAATGTCCCAGATTGCCTCATAATTTCTCGTTTATGTTATTCTTTTTTCCAACCAGGATCCAAGCAACTTCATTTGTTGTATTCAATTGACAAATCTATTAAATATCTCTTAATCTACACATATCTTTCTATCTCTCTTTTTTCTTATAGTTTCCCACTTTCTATATTTTTCTGATTGCATATTCTCATAAGCAGTTCTTCTATACTTCATTTTTTCCCACCCACCCCCCTTTCTTGTACCAGGGATCGAACTCAGGACCTTGCACTTGCAAGGTAGGGTGGCACCACTGAGCTAAATCCCCGGCCTTCTTCTATACTTCCTGTAATCTATAAGTTAAATCTAGTTAAATTGCATGATACCTTGATTTTTTTTCTTAAGTAAGTCTCCATCAAGATTGTGTCATTATTGTGTGGTTCCATCAAGATTCAAAGTACAGCTGTACTTTTTGTGTCAGCATCCATTAACGACCACTACCTAGATCTCTGTATCATTTGATGTTGCTATTCTACCATTAGGCTTCATTTATTACTGGGGTGTAACTTTAAAGAAAAACTCTCTTTATTCAAATATTTGGTTACACAAAGATATAGCTTATGGAGGAAAGCAAAATCATGAGACTGTTACAGAGTGGTTTGGAGCAGAAGAAAGTAGAATTTTCAAGTGGAAGAAATGTCAGTGAATAAAAACAGCTAATGTAGAATATTCTTTCAAGAAGTTTGAAAGTGAGGATGAGACAGAATGGTACCACAATGCTTGTTAGGAAAGAATAATGCAATGCCAAGAGAAAGAATATTTTTATTTCTCTTAATGAATTCTTCATATTAAATTTTTAGTGCTAGATTTTGCTAAATTTCATGTTCCATTACTCAGAAAAATAAGACATTTTGTTTTAAGTTCATCACAATTAGACAATGTGTACATGTATTTTATATAGTTAGAAATCATACTCCTTATAGTCAATGAATCTGTTTCCTTCTTTCTTTAGAATGTTGCCACTACTTTGGGGGTGAACTGCATTGATTTATTACAAATAGAAGGCTATAATTTGATAGCTGCTGGAACCTTAAGTGGTATGATCATCCTGTGGAATTTTGTAGCATCTACAGTCAAAGAAGTGTAAGTTGTATTTTTGCCTTACATAATATAAAAGTTGTAATGCAGAAGAGTCAAGATATCATAAAAAAAAGTAATAGACCAAAGTGATCATGACCCTCAAGGAAGGCTTTCCTGGAAGTTGTACTGTACTCATGGACAGACAATGTTCTTAACATCTAAATTCCAGAATGATATATAAAGAGGAACCTTGCTCTTCTCACGTGAGTATGTAATCCTTTCATGCATGATCTTGTCCTAATGTATGACCTCGACAGATACTTAAGATTCATGATAATTTCAAACATTAACATCCCAACAACTTCAAACACACATATCCAATTGTTTGCTGGCATTTTCAACCTGGATTGCTACCAAGATCCTCCAAGCTTCATAATACCTAAAACTACTTCCCAAACTAACCCACCCTCAAATTTCTCTTCTTATATTCCCATTGCCACTGCCAACTATTCAGTAGCACAGTCAAATGGTGAGAGGCTTTCTGTAAGGCATTCCTTTTCTTTCACTAACACATTCTGTTTGTTAGAGGATGGTGCTAACAAAGGACAAAGTGGCAGGTGCAATTCTGCACCTCGACCACTCAGATTGAGATGCTGTGTATCATCAATAAAATGTTTCCCTTCCCCTGACATCCATTTCTAAATATTCTGGTTATTGGCTGTACAGGAACTGAGGTAACATTGTATTATTTGAGTAGGTGTACTGTAAATAACAACCTTGTCCCCAGACATGTACAAAGCTCATCTGTGAACTCTCTAAGTCAAGGGGGCTTATGGAATAAGATGACCAAGATCTTAATAAATTTTAAAAATCTAAACATTCTAGGGAGAGAAAAGATATATATTCAGGGGAGAAGATAAATTTGGGAAGGACAAAGGGAAAGAAGAGAAAAATTCATAAGCACCATCTGCCCTCTACTTATGGTACTTCACTTACTGCTAGTCCACCTGGACTCCAGGCCCCTTTCCTACCCAAGTTGGAGTCATCAGTCATCACTTTTAGCCAACTTTTGAGAATAAATGATCCTCTCTTGTTTGTACACTGGATTTATTCTCCTTTGAAGCTTAATTTGAAATAGCTATATCTGCACGCCCCTGTCTCTGCACTTCAACTTGTGTTCTCCTAGACCCTCTCCCTATAATTCTTGCTATCTTTCTATTCCTTCTCTTAGATCTTCACCCTTCTGCCTCTCTTCCTCACTGTACAGTTGTCATTTGACACCTATATCTATATGCACTGCACCATTCCTCACCTTATTAATACAGTTCTCACCCTGCTAGTTTCAGTTTAGGTATGACTCACTACTAAGAAACGAAAGCAAATAGCATCAAATGACCAAACTGATGCTGCAGCCTAGAGAGGGACAGCTCTCCTGAGAATGCTTGCAATTTAAAGGAGGAGATCCTCCTTGCTGATGTGCCAGGCATTTTGCTAAGGGATTCATGCAAACCCAGCATTCAGTCAGAGAAAAGCAACTAACTATTGTGGGTTATACGTGGTGTCCCTTTACTATCAGCAAATGACTATGACAAATATTGGTTTAGAATAACTGGAGAATTTTGCAAAACATATAACTGAATACTGAATTGTGTAAGGTACTTTAGGCTCAGCTTTAAATGTGCTAAAATTGCAAATAGTTTCCATATTCACAGTGGAAACCTTTTATTCATCTACTTCAAACCATGCCTAAGACCTGGTAAGAAAAATAAACCTCTTCCCCTTCTCAATCTCACTGTTTCAGGAGGCTCAAATTCAATATTGTTCTTGTTAATCATTAACTTGCCATTCAGCTTGTCTGCAGGCAAAAATGTCTAAAGAGTTTTAGTTCAACAAATGACCAAGCCCAGCAGTGTGTCTTTTGAATGTGGTTCACTCCCCAAGTGGCCCCTTCATCACTGTGTTGGTCAGATTAACGAATACCTGAAATAATCAGCTTAATAAAAGAAAAGGTTGCTTTTGATGCACAGTTTCAGAGGTTTCCATCCATAATCAGTTGGTCCTCTTGCTTTGCGACCTATCATGGTAGGACTGCTCACACTGCAATAGAGAAGTGAAAAAAGGAAGAGAGGAAGTGGTGGCATCCCACATCCCCTTCAAGGGCATACCTGCAATGACCTAAAGGCCTCCCACCAGGGCTCACCTCAAAGTTTCCACCACCTAGGGGACATTTCCAGGTCCAAACTCTAGCAATCACTCATCACCTCAAATAATCAGAGTATTCCCATAAACAGAGGCATTTTGCTAAAAGGCCAGTTTGCTACAAGGAGCGTTGAGTGCAACTCCAGGAACCAAGCGTGAGGTTCTAGTGAAGGCAGTTAGGGACTGTTGCTCTGTTTCCAAGCCAATGCCTAGGAAGGCATATCAATCCTCGGAATCTGAGTCAACAGAATTGAGCAGCAAGAGCAATGTAATCCAAAAATCACCTATTCTTTACTCAATTATAAACTCTTAAGGGTTAGAGCCATATTTTATTCAAATTTATCACTCCATATACTCAGAGAGTAGAATTCTATTACTTAAGTTTTAAACTGTATGAGGCTTCCTGGAGGTTCCTCCACAGGATCATACAAGTCCAAACTCTAGCCCACAGATAGGAAGATTTGTTCAGTTAATAGAATTAAGAATTTTAAGCCATTAAATAATCATGTGATGCCCAGAGCCTTATTTTAGAAAGACACAGTCAAACTCCACCTCTGAGTTTTTGCTTTATGTTCAAATTATCAACATTTTTAGGAGTTGACTGGGTCTGTGTGGGATACACAATGACTAATTTGTGACATTTATCATACAAAGGCATATTTCTGTTCAGGTACCGTCCTGAAGATTGCTCTACTGTGAACCTAGACCTGGATCCCAAGCGCTTTAGAATTAATGACATACTGTTTCTCTTTCGTACCTCAAAATGTGCAAGGTAAGGTAGTCCTTACTGATCAAGTAATCCCAGCTGGGATTTATGTGGTGACATAAAAAGAAGACATAGGACTGGAAAGAAGACATAGGTTAAGCTGACTTCTTGGCTTCAGTTTTCTTCCCTTTTATCATCTTTCTGGGGTGGTCCTCGGGGGCCCGATGTGCTGTGTGGTCCCTGATCATGTCGGCCTCACAGGAACCTTTACCACAGTGGCAGAAATAGAAAATGAAAATGCTCATTTGGCCATACTTTTAGCCAAAATCTTACCCTGTGATTACTGGTGTGAAGCAAAGCGTGGGACTTACCATGCAAGGATAGAAGAGGATTTTGCAGGCTTTGCATACCATCTATTATAACTACTCAGTTGTCATCCACTTCTGAGAGAGCTGGGGAATCCTTTTTAAAATGTAAGCAAAGTCACTTTCCCCTATTTATATTTGCTTGAGAATTCTGGTTTTCAGACAATAAGCAATGTTAACCACATATCTGGAGAGAAATCAAAGGTTTCTGTGCTAGCTTGAAGCCACCCACTCATTGGTGAGCCAAAATAGAACATAATCCCTTGCCTACCCCATTGGCTTGAAATTTCAACAAAAGCTATTTGAAGATTACTTTGAAGATTTAGTCAGTGTACCTCTGCACCAGGACCCTAAGCCACTTCTCAGCCCATTCCAACAAACCGCAGCAGAAACAAAAAGAGGCCAGAATGACCACTGTATATCAGGAAGTTAGCCAGACTTCTTGGGCCCTCCACCACTACCCTATTGCCAGCCATGTCAGCGTCAGAGTCTCTAGGATAAGTCTAGCTTTAGCTGTGGGGCAGGCTAGACTTCAACTTCCCAGACCCAAGAAGCAGCACACTTTAAATGCCAGGATTCCCCAACAGTCCTCACCACACCACAAGAACATTTGTTACACAAAGTATAAGGTGTGATTCGTTTCCTGGGTGGCTCAGAATTCACAGATGATGAAAGAAGCAATCAACTACAATTAAAACAGAGAAACACTCTTTGAATATGAGAGAATATCTTAACTGTTCACCCTTGGGATTCCTTCCTCCTTTTGTAGGAGATCAAGTCAAGAATCCATATGCTCTTCGTCCCATTGTGAATCTAGCAAAGGTCCGCAGAGCAGCAAGGTAAGATAGAAATAGCGTATGTCTTCCTGTTACACCCAATGCTGACTCAGAAATAGTATCTGAGCCCCCTTTTGATGGAAGGCAATGGTAGAAAAATTCCATGTGCATTTGTAAAAACTTTAAAAATCAATGTCTACATCTTTTCTTCTTTTCACGGCCTTCCTATCTGCAAATAATCAGTACATAATCATAGTAAAATAAATTATCCAGCCAGGCTCAGTTGTGCATGCCTGTAATCCCAGTTATCTGGGAGGCTGAGACAGTAGCATTTCTTGTTTGAGGCCAGGTTGGGAGAGTTAGTGAGACTATGCCTCAAATAAGAAAGCCTGGGGATGCAGGTCAGTGGTAGAGCATTTGTCTGGCATGAGTAAGGTCCTGGGTATAATTTCCAGAACTTCAAATAAATAACATCAATTATGTATGTTATTTTTTTACATTTATAAGAAAATAAAGTAATTTTAGACTATATCTTTTGCTAAAAATATTATATTTCACAGGAAAAAGAAACAGCTTGTAATTATATTTATTTTGCAACATGTAATTGTAGTGGTTTTCAAACTATGTTCTCAATTCCAACTTTACATATTTTTAAACATTATATTTCTAATTAGAATTTTGTTTGAAGGAAAGTTTTCACGGCAATGTTTTCAAACTTTTATTAGTACATGTTTACAATACATAATGATTATATTCACTGTATTACAAAACATATTTCAATTCTTGTTTTCCCTTCCCTCCACCTCCTTTTATTTTTCCAGCATCAGATTTATCTTATAAGACCTTATAAAATTAATTATCATAATACAGATTGAAAACAAGACTAATAGGCCAAAGAACATAGAAAACATGTAAGACAACTGTACTAAGTCAAGGTACACGTTTAGATATATTGTCTGCATCAGCAAAAATTATTTTAAAACAATTTGCTTAGTGGAAAAATATAAACTTACACAGATAAATGTAAAATCCAGAAAGACCTGTGCTTGAATCCAAGTCTTCACTGTCTGATTAGCTTTAGAGGTATCACTTGATCTGAGTTTCTGTTTCCTCATCAGTAAAGCGTGAGTAATAGAGACTACGGTGCGTGGCTGTGAATTGAATTGGTAATAACATATATCAAGAATTTGGCAGGCATTGAGTGTCTAATTAATCTCATCATTGTCCTATTCTTGAGCCGTTAAAAAAATGTTGTTGTGTTAGGGATTCCTTATTGATGAACATAAAACCTTCTGCAATACATTTTTTTCAAAGAACTAATTTAGAAATAAGTTGAAGATCAGTGCTTAGGAATGCAGATTCTATTTCTTGGAGAATCTCCTCCTCCTCCCATGTCTCTTATCCTTACAATGAAAGTGTTTTCTGTCTCTTCTTCCTTCATTCAGGGAAGCAAGCAAAGCATACATGACAGTGAAGTTAAAGGTCAGTGTCACCTCTCTTCTTTGCAATAAAATTTCTCCTTCTTTCCTCTCTTCTTGTGGCAGTGGTGATGGAACCCAGGGCCTCACACATGCTCGGCCCAAACTGTACCTACCACTGAGATACATCCCCAGCCCACGCAGCTAGTTAACAACAGGGACTTTATGTGATGGGATAAGGTATCTTCCCCCCTCTAACCCAAGCCCCAGTCTTGCAACATACTCCCGCTGCACATGCAGTTTTTAAACGAGGTATACGTAATAGAATGCTTCTCATGAATGTATGTTCTTACGATGACCAGATATTGAGTTGCTATGAGATTTTGTCATCTAACAGGCAGAATTTCTGTTCTGATAATACCTTTTAAAATCCAAATTCTAGTTTTTAAAAATCCAAAATATTACTATACTTCTTAGTATAGTAATATTTTCCTAAAACTTATACTAGATTTATAAGCCACTCTGGATATATAGCACTTGTAAGAAATGAATATCTCATTTTTACTTATCAACAGCTTTGTCATAGGACTAAAAGTATGCTTTTTAAATTTTTTCAGTGATCCAAAGTTTAATATTTTTTGTTTGCTTGACTGCTTGTTTTGTTTTCTAACCTGAGGAAGTTCTCTCAAGTTAAAAAACATTCTTGGGAAAAAAATACATTGTTTTGCTATTTTCCTGCCTGTCTGCTATTCTATATTCCATAAAATTTGGAATTCCAAGTATTGCAAATACCACGGTAGCTCATTAATTTCTCCAATAGGTGAACGCACAGACATAATGGGAGAGCAACAGGCACCAAGCAAAAAGGGTCCTGTCCTTGCCAGTTTAACAGAAGCTCAGCCTCCCATCCTGGTCACTGCTCATGAGGACGGACACCTTCGCTTGTGGACTTTGGAGGTGATAGGGCTTGGTATTTCCTGGGATTAGGAAAGAGTGGAGACGATACAGAGGATGATTAAATGAATGCCTTCTTCTATACAGCACCCAGTTCTGGTATTTTTCAACTTTCTAGCCAAACATGGTTTTGCAGTCTGCTCTCACTGATCAGGCTACTCATACTTTACAACAGACCAGTTTTGTAACTCGAAAGATTAAGTCATCAAAACAGTTACTTATTTTGAATCTTACTTTTAAGTGAAACACGACACAATATTGTGTTGTATATTGAAATAATATTAAAGGATATTAGCTATACAGTAAAAGAATATAGAAACATGGAAATGTTCAGCATACTAAAAAATTTTAGTGAGCAAACTATTGGAAAATAGTATTACCTCATTTTGGATGTTCTTAAACGTTTTGCTATTTAAAAAAAAAAAACTTTAATTCATCAGAAGATTTTAAATGATTTAGGGTGGAAGACAGGCAACCCAAATGAGGGGATGGGAAGAAAGCAGATGATGAGAGGAGGATCCTAAGCAAAGTGTGTCAGAGGCAGGGGAGGTGACTCCCCATGTGGTAAGGCTCCTTCCGGTGGCAACAGCGTTGAGGGACAGATAATGGGGTTCCGCAACACAGAACAGCCTGGCTGTCTGCCAGGTCAGCTCCAAGACTATCCTTGAATCCTAGTTTATTAGTGAAACTTCTGGTATGAAAATAAAAAATATTTCTGAAATAATCTTGTTGTTGAAGCAATGCCTGTTTTTCCTCCAACAAATGAAAGAGTGGAAAAAAAAAAAAAAAAGCTCCTGAAGATATTATATACAACTAAAGTACCAGGAAACATGTAACAGATTCAATCTTTTTTTTTTTTTTCTTCAACTT